CCTTGCATGCGGCCCACCGGGGTTCCAGCCCCTGCACCCTGAGCCCCAGGATGGAACAAAGCAAGACATTAGCTTGAAACTAGAGTTGTGTGCCAGATTTCAGTTCCTGCCCCTCCCTCCCCCAGAGCCCCCTGTCCGAGTTTATTTTTGGAACTGTCAGGTGTCAAGGGGACTGTGGACTATCCAGGTCTGTAGTGAGGGGAGGACTCTGGTTTGGGGGTTCAGATGTTGGGGCAGGGGAGATGGCTCCGCGCCAGGGCACATACCTTTCGTGGGGAGGCCCTGGCTCCATCCCTGGCACCGCAAAAAATTATAAAGTTGAGGGCCCGAGAGATAGTACAGTAGGTAGGCACTTGCCTTACACATAGCCAACCTGGATTCGATCCCCAGCACCCCAAAGACTCCCCCGAGCACTGCCAGGAGTGATCCCCGAGTGCAGGAGTAATCCTGGGCATTGCCACTGTGGCCCCAAAACAAAACAAGTTGAGGTCTGTTTCCTCCTTCCCTCTTCCCTGAGAACGAATGGTGAAAATAGTTAATCTTGTATGCTGTGTGTTGATCCTGTGCCAATTCTTTTATATTTGCTATTTCCTTTATTTAATTTTTGTTTGGATTTTGGGGACACACCCAGCTTACTCGTGGCTCTGTGCTCAGGGCTCACTCCCGGTAGGGTTCGAGGGCCCAGTGGTGGCAGGATGGAATCTGGGCAGGATACAGCTTCCTTATGTTTCCTTGGCAGGACACTTGGGGAGGGGCACTGTGATCAGGTGACAGGACTGGTGGCGTCATGAGGACTCTGGGTCTTTCCTGAGCCTCTCTGAAGTCCCCGGGGTGGCTCCCTGTTTCATCCCTTAAAAACCTTTGAAGATCATGGGTTACTGGCCCCCGTGTGTGCCCTGCTTTGCTGGTCAGCCAATCGCAGGGCTAATAAGGACGGGATCTGGACTTGAACTCTACGCTGGGCACGCTTCTCACCCCTTCACCAAGACCATCCACATCTGCCGATTCAGGGGAACCACCGCAGCCCAGCCTGCTCTGACACCCAGCTCTCTCTCTCTCTCTCTCTCTCTCTCTCTCTCTCTCTCTCTCTCTCTCTCTCTCTCTTCTCTATCCTCTCTCTCTCTCTCTCGCTCTCGCTCTTGCTCTCTTTTGTTTTTGGGCCATATCAGGTGGTACTCAGGGCTTATTCCTTTCTCTGTACTCAGAGATCACTCCTGGTGGGCTCAGGAAGGACCTGTGGGATCAAACCCAGGAGAGCCACGTGCAAGACACGTGTTTTCCCCACTGTACTGCTTCTCCAGCCTGTACTTGGTCACTAGCCTCCCGAAGCTAAAGGAGCCTCCATTTCAAAAATCTCTGTTTCCTATTTGTGCAGGGACTGAGCCCAGAGCCTCAGAGGCAAACACGGCTCAGTGGGGCTGAGGATGTGGGTCAGTGATGCTGAGGTAGCATGTCACGGTTTTTAGACAGTTAAGGTTGAAAATAGAGGGGTCCCTGGGGTCCCCGGAGCACGGAGCCAGGAGTGAGCCCTGAGCAGTGCTGGGGTGGTCCCCAAACCAGCCAGCCCATCTTTTTTCATCTTAACTAGGGTGAGACCTGAGCAGTCTGTGTTGGACTTAAGGCAAGCAAGATGCTGAGGCAGAGGGATGGAGGGGGTAGTTCCGCGCGTCCTGGGCACTTTCTCATGAGTCTCAGGGGCCATTCCCGTCTCCACCTCTTGTTCCTCCGGTCCGATCACTCTATGGGTCGGGAACTTTTATGTGTGAAGCTTATCAGCACGGGTGCTTGTTATTATCGTTTCGTGGGGGCACGCCCAGTTTTGCTGATCACTCCTGGCAGGCTCAGGGATCCATATGGGGTGCTGGGGATCACAAAGCAGGCGCCCTCCCACCTGTACTGTAGCTGCGCGGTGTCACCCCCTCGCGTTTTTAGGTCAACTCGTATGTTGGCGTTCTGTGGTTCGGTCGCTCTCACCCACCCACCACTCTCTGTTAGCCCCACAGAGAGCCATTCAGCACCCCGAGCCCAGGAGTCGATACTGCGGAGTGAGTGGAAGGTTGAATGAACGCGTGAATGAAAGGCTGCTCATGAATGAGTGGCTGGAGGATGAATGAAGGCGCACCCGGGCCTCTCTGGACGGTGCTTCCCGCAAGCCGGTGCTAGGAGCCCGGCTGCACCCTTTGTTCTCCGCAGCAGACAAAGGCGGGAGAGGCCAGCCGGACCGGGCTTGCCCCGCGGGGCCCAGAAAAGTCCCCCAGGTGGGCCGCCCTCCCACCTGCTCCCCAGAAGGAGCCCGGGGGCCTGGGTCTCCCCGAGGCCACCCAAACCCCCGCTTTGTTTGCCTCTGTGTATGGCAACCAGAAACCACCCGCCCCGCCCCCCAGCTCTTAATCTCCCGAACTGATTTGTCAGCAGCAGGAAGTGACCTGCCCGCTTTCCTCGCCGAGGGGGAAACTCCCCGCATCTCTGCGGGGACGAGTCCTCTTAAAGGGGCACACGCCATGACGTCATCCTCCCGGCGGCGCCTGGCTCGGAAGGGTCCTACTGCGCGCGTGCGGGGAGCGGCAGGCGAGCCTGGGGGCTGGCGGGAGCCCCAGCCCGCGGTCCAGGGGCAGCTGGGCCTGGCGTGGGAGGGAAACTGAGACTCGGGAGCTGCTACTGGCTCTCGGCAGAGCGGGGCGGGCCCTGCAGAGCCCTTTCCCTGCAGGGGGACCGGCCGCTGGGGCCTGCCTGGGCTCCCTCCCCGCGGGAAGCCGGGATGACATTCCCAGCAGCGCTTTCAGTCGCCCCCGGCAGCGAGTTTTGTTTTATTCTGGGCGGCGCATCCCCGCCTCGGAGCTCAGGGAGTGCTCCTGGCAGGTTCAGGGGACCCCAGTAGGCTGTGTGCAAGACAAGCGCCCTCCCCACAGTGCTCTCTCTCCAACCCCCGTGGGAATAAGCATTTCACATTATTATTGTTTTTATTTGGGGGACCACACCCCGTGGGGCTCAAAGGACCCTTTTGGGTGCCAGAGACCATACCCGACCACATGCAAGGTGAGCGCCTTAACTGCTATATTATTGCCCGGGTCCAAAATAACTTTTTTTTTTTTTTTACTTTTTTGGGTCACACCCGGCGATGCACAGGGGTTACTCCTGTCTCTGCGCTTAGGAATTACTCCTGGCGGTGCTCAGGGGACCATATGGGATGCTGGGAATCGAACCCGGGTCGGCCGCGTGCAAGTCAACCGCCCCACCCACTGTGCTATTGCACCCCCCCCCATAACATTTTAATAGCTATGCACCTTTCTTCCCACCAGGACTTCCCTCTTTACTGCCTGCCCCTCCCCTGAGAGCAGTCTCAGACCCAGTGTGCCATTTTTTCTGAGGGAATCTAAAAAACAGGATTCAATGGGGGCTGGAGCTAGCACAGCGGATAGAGCATTTGCCTTGCACGCGGCCGACCAGGGTTCAATTCCCAGTATCCCACATGGTCCCCTGAGCACCGCCAGGGGTAATTCCTGAGTGCAGGGCCAGGAATGACGCCTGTGCATCGTCAGGTGTGACCTCAAAAAAAAAAAAAAAAACAGGAGTCAGGTGTGTTATGGGGGGAGGGTGGGACGGGATAGGGTCCTTGCACCCCACTCCTGGGCAGGACAGAGAAGGAACTTGCCCTGGGAGAAATGAGCAGACTGTTTACCCTGGCAGATTCCTGAAGCAGTCGCTGTATTTTTCCACTTTGTGGATCACACTAGAGATTAATTTTGGTTCAGCCAGAGCCTGCCAGGCATAAAGTGATGGCCGGAGCCCACGGGGAAGTCAGCCACAGATCTGCCACAGACTGGTACATTTCCACGAAGGGAGATATTTATGCTAGTCAATTTCTAGGGTTTGATTTAAAAAAAAAATACTGGGAACAGGAGAGCTGGTTTGATTGGAAAGGATGGAACACACTTGCAATAGGAAGGTCGAGGAAAGGAGCCCGCCAGGTCAGGGATGGAGGAGGCCATGGGGGTTGGCAGCTGGGGAGAAGTTCCGGAACAAGATCAAGGTCGCTGGCTCCAAAGGTCAAGGTCGCCAGCTCTAAGGCAGGGCTGCCCCATTCTCAAGGTCTTGCTCCAGGAGACAAATCAGGTTTCCTTTTCTGCTTCCATTGCCACTTTGTCCAGAAATAACCCGGGGTGGTGAGTGCAGGAACCCAGGAGCCTGGTCCCAGTCCAACCTTCTGGATCGGATTCCAGCAAGGTTGGCCTTTTGTTGGCCTGCTCAGCGTGCTAGCGTGGGGGGTATCCGGGCTTGTGCTTGCAGTACTGTGGGGAGGGAGACTGAATAGCTATCTCCTGCAAAAATGGGCAGCAGAGCTTCAAAGGCCACCGGGAAGCAGACGCTGGTGGGGACGTTTGTCAGCATTTGCCACGGCAGGGCAGGTGGGGAGGGGAGCAGAGCTGCCCCGTGCAGATCCTGCTCCACCAACTCACAGTGCTAGGGTTGCTGATTTCTTTATAAACAGCTAGGGTATTATTTCCACCCAAATGAAGTTCTCAAAGGCAAAAGAGTCTGTGGAAGAGGTAAGGGCACAAGTACACAGCGCCTAAAATGAGGCGGACCATCTCCTCACAGGAGTGCTGGCTGCAGAGCCTGCAGGCTTGTTGGGGGGTGCAGAAAGGGAGCAGCACCCACTTTCCCCACGGCTCAGTCCAGAGAACCCGGGGAGGCTTTGCATGCAGACGCCCCATGTTCTCTCCCTGGCACCAAATACCATCCGGAATGACCTCCAAATACTAGCCTGCACCCCTTGCCCCCCAAAGGGCAGCCCAGTTAAATGACTGCTTCCCCTTAGCTTGGGTCCTGTGGTGGCCTAGACAGGGTTATTATAAAGATCTGCAATCCAGTTATCTTGTGGGCTCCAGAGGCCAGCAAGGACTGGGGGTCAGGTAAGCCCTATCTTTATGTGGAGGAATTCCCCCCTTCTCCCCAGCAGGAAAAGGTCAGGTCAAGCTGGTCACAAAGAAGCACCGAGATTTCAGTAGAAACGCCATAATTTATTCTGTCGTATAAAAAAGTCATCCTTACGTAACAAAAGGTCTTCTTAAAAGAAGAAATATATTATTTAAGGTCATAAATAATCAGCAAACATACAACAGTTGGCAACTAAAGACAAAAAAAAAAAAAAAACAAATATCCAACGTGGTGATCCCCACCAGTCTGCAGACAAACCTGCTTTGGATCTATGTACAGGACAGGACAGGACTCAAACACAAAAACTGAGGTATTTGGTTCTTTAGGAATAGACAATGACGTCTGCGAAGGCCTCACACCTCCACAAAAATAAATAAGGTATATTCTCCTGTGGTACGTGTCGTCGGGAATGCTAATACTGGCAGGTACGTCAAAAGCACGGAGAGTCCACCAGAACAGGCCCGTGGCCTTTCTCCTGCCCCTTCCAGCGAGGGGGGCTTATGTGGCCCAGCTCTGGACTGGTCCCGAAATGTGCCGAGTTCAGCGGACATCTGGCCGCTGATGTCACCGCTCTGTGCGCCGGGGGACCCAGTGGAACTGGGGTGAAATGAGCAATAAAAAGGACGGGCGCTCAGCAGCTGGGAGACGTGGTGATGGGGCTCTGCAGGTAGCTCAGGGCGCCCTTGCCCGCGTGCACCGGGATGGACACCGGGAAGTTGAAGACGGTGGTGGTGGAGGCGCCGTGGTCCAGCACGGCGATGGCGGGGCTGCCCGCCTCGGCGGAGCAGTGGGGCGCCAGGACCTGGGACTCGAACTGCAGCAGCTGGCCCATGAAGCTGAAGTTGGGGGAGATGATGCTGCGTCTCTGCTTCACAAACTCAAAAGCCTCGTCCAGCTTGACGCGGTTAGTCCTCATGAGGTAGGCCAGGCAGATGGTGGCCGACCGCGAGATGCCCGCCTGGCAGTGCACGAACACCCGCCCGCCTGCGTTCTTGATAGAATCTAGAGAGACGCAGAGCGGAGGGTCACGGAGAGCTCCAGGGTGCCCTGCAACCCCGGGCACCGGGCATTTAAGGAACGTCCGTCCATGTGGAGATGGCCATTCGTGCCATGCTAAAGACCCTGTCCCTGGGGGCACTCTGGGCACGGGGCAGAGAAGCCCCTCTCACCCCACCTCCCCGAAACCCAGATGGGTCATCTCCGCTAAGCAGCTCCACCTTGGCCGTCAATGCAACTGTGCCACTTTTAAATTTCAAACGCTAATGATCTGCACAGGGGGACCTTAACTCTCTCTCTTGCAGGGTTATGGTGACACGAGTGTGATGATGTCCAGGAGACCTCAAATCCCTGCCACCCTGTGGGGCCCAGAGGCTGGAAAGGGTAAGTTTGAAAGGGGGAGGCGGAAGGGTGTTTGGGGGCTCTCAGGCAGGCGTCTGCTTACCGATGAAATCGATGGCCTCGTTGAACCAGGAGCTAATGTCGGCCTTGTGGTTGTCCTCCACGGGAATGCTCTTGTACTGGTAATGGCCCTCGAAGTGGTTGGGACAGTTGGCAGAGACGTTGATCAGGGCAGTGATGCCCAGGGCGTCCAGCATGTCTTTGCGGGAGGCGTGGTAGGCACTGCCCAGGTACAGAAAGGGGAGGATCTCCACGGGGCCACCCTGAGGGACAAAGAGCCAAGGGTCTGTCAAGCTTTGCTTCGAGTCAAGGGCAGTGCCCACCCCCGCCAGAGTCCCCCTGCTCGGAATGCCCAGGCCAGCTGCACGGAGCCCATCGGTCTCTGCAGGGCCCCGGACTGCGATGCGCCCCCTCTTCGCGGCCCCCTCCCCACGGAAGACAGCACCAGCCGCTGTCCAGAGGCTCAGCGCCTCTGCCAACCGTTCGGCGTCCCCGGTTCCCCCTCCTTCCCCGGTGGGCCCGGGCCTCGGCTGACCTGGTCATAGAGAGGGGTGCTGCAGGAGTTGCACCCCGGCTCGGCGCTGCCGGGGACGCTCGTACTCAGGGGAAGGCTGAGCCCCATGGGGGTCGACTGTTTGCTGCACAGCTCCGGGCAGGAAGCCGAAAACGCTTCATATCCTCCTGGGGAAACAAAGAGATCAGAGAATGAATTTTCCCGTCTTGCGCACTGGCAACGTCCGGGGCGGGGGGCAGCCGGGCCCCTTCCCGCGACTCCCCGGGCCGGCGGGGACCCCGCGGGGGCCGGCCTTTGTCCCGGCCTTTGTTCGCGGGCGGGGGGCGCGCGCGGCCGCGGCTCACCTTGGAGCAGCAGCACCCGCGCGGCGCGCGCCTCGCGGCACAGGGCGCCGGCCGCCAGGGCCAGGGTGCCGTCGCGCTTGGCGCCGTCCAGGGCGCGGCTGCGCTCGTCCAGCAGCACCACGGCGTGGAAGGCGCCGGCCAGCAGGCGGCCGCGCAGCTCGGCGTTGGGCAGGACGTGCTCCAGGCCCAGGGCGCCCTTGGCGCGGCGGCGCACGATGGTGCTGAGCCGCACGTTGAGCGCGCCCGCGATGTGGCCCGCGTTGAAGGCGAAGAAGGAGCGGCAGTCCAGCAGCAGGCACTGCGCCGCGCGCTCCCGCAGCAGCGCCCGCAGGCCGCCCGCGTCCAGGCAGCCCACCTCGGTGACCATGGCGCGCCGTCGTCCGGCCAGACCCGCCGCCGCCGCCGCCGCGCTCCGAGCCGCCGGGCCCGCCGGCGCCGCGCGCTTATAGGCGGCCGGGGCGGGGCGCGCGCGCGGGGCGGCGCGGGGGAGGGGCGCGCGTGTTTGTTTGAATGGCGGTCACGTGGCCCGGTGACGTCACCCGCGCGGCCCGGGGAAAGACGTCATCGCCCGCGGAGCCGGCCCCGCCTGGCCGCGCGCCCGGAGCCGGCCCCCGCCCCCGCCGCGCCCCGCGCCCCGCGCCCCGCGCGCCCCGAGCGGAAAAGGGGCTTTCTGCGCGTTTGCATGCGGCGGGGCCCCTCGCTCTCGTTTCCTCCTTCCCGGCGGGCGGGGAAACTGAGGTTCAGCGTTGGGGGGGGCGGGGGGATTTATTTTCCGAGCTCGGACCTGCACTACCGGAGCGGGGTGCGCCGCGGGGGCTGTGCGTGTGCGTTTGGGGCGGGGGGCGGCTCCGAAAAAAGGCCGTCCGTGAGGGCTGGAGAAACAGGAGACGTTTGGCCCGCCAGAAAGGTGGATCCGGATGCATGGATTCGCAGAAGCGTTTTCCTTCTGCCCAGGCTTTCCTGGCGCTCTCGGCCGGTGAGATGTTCCTGTCGGGCGCCCGGCCTCGTGGTCGCTGAGGATCTGGGGCCCAGGCAGCTCCGGGGGCCGGGGGGCTGGGGGAGGGGGTCTCAAAGCCCCGGTGAGGGTTCTCGAGAGAGGCCTTTCTTTGTTGCACACGTGTAGGTGGGGGCGCACACTACACACCGCCCGTTCCCCTGCGTCACCCCGTCACGTTTCTGGACTCGGGATCCGGGTCCTGGGAACCGCAGCCGCCTCCAGCCTCCCCGCCCGGGCCCGTCTCTGGCCAGAAATCGAATTCCGATCGCCCGGCGCCTGGGCTGACCCGAGGTCTGCGAGGAGCAGCCCGCGCGGCCGCGTGGGGGGGACCCCCGGCGGTCCCCAGTGACGCCCCCCGGGCGGTGTGCTAGGTACACAAATATAAACATTGCGCCACGGGCTGGGGTGCAGGACGGAACATTCTGCGGTTTTCTTCCCCGGTGCTGGGGGACGGGGGAATTCACCGCCCGGCCCCGGGTGGGGGGTGGGGGGATGGGAGGGCACTTCTGCATTTGCCTCGCCCAGCTTCTTTCTGCCTTCTCCCTTGCTCACGCTTTCTGCCTGGATTCTCGGAAAGTTCGGGACCCTGAGCTCTTTTCTCTCTTTTTTACTTTCTTTTATTATTTATTTTTTTATCCCAAGGGCATCTTCTCTATTCTGATTGGCTGACAGCCGTACGGAGATGCCCGCTGGTCATAGTAACCTTCCCTGTGGCTGAAAAAAAAAAAAAGTAAAGAAGAAAGAAGAAATGCTCTGCTTGTTTATACTCCTTATTCAGCTGAGGAACGCCACATATTTTGTGCGTTGAATCATTGAATGTTACAGCTACTGACTTTTCCCAGCATACCAACTTGATCAGCCCCGTTTAAAAAAAAAAAAAACACCCAGAGCATTCATTATACCTTTCCCTACCAGTAATTTTTACTAAGAAAACATTCCCATATATAAACACATACACACATAGGAGAGTGGCTATGGCCCAGTAGGGACCCTCTGGAAATGCCCCCACTGCTGGCTGGACCCCCGAAGTCCTTCCCCCTTTGAGCCCATCTGTACAATGGGCTCCCAAGAGCCGCCCTGTGCAGAGCTGGAGCCCCCGAGAGGGAGGATGGGGCCAGGCCCCGCCGCCCTCCCCACGCCTCTTGGTATGATTCACCAAATCTTTTGCTTTTCCCCTTCCCGGCAGGGCCCGCCTGAGCTCAACTGGGCCGCTGTGCCTCTCAGGCCCGCTCCAGAACCCCGGACGAGGGTGAGGGGTGATGGCGTGGGGGGCTCAGCTCCAGGGCATGTCTCCTTTGGAGAGGAACCAGCGTGTGGTGGTGGCTGGAGTGGGCTCTGGTGGGCTCTGGTACTCCCTGGTGATACGAGGGTCTCGGCCAGGGAAGCCCCCGGTGCAGGAATGAGGAGAGTTCTGCCTGAAGCCGGCGCCAGGGAAGGGCCCAGCGTGGGGGCCTGAGGGGCCGACTTGGGGCCGGTGGCCAGAGGGGCTCGGAGAAGCATGAGTGTGAGTCAGTGCGCTGAGTCAGGGGACAGCAGGGCGTGGCTTCTGCTGCTAGCGGACGACCCGTTCCTTCTGGCCTGCGGGTTAGGGCTGGGGGGTGGGAAGGCTTGGAGTCAGCCAGTGACCTTGCCCGAGCTACTTTCCCTTCCCCTGCCTCCGTTTACCTTCCTGGTAAGGACAGACTAGCTGCCTCGAGGGGCGGGGCTGGGAGACCTCCTTTCGAATCCCGCCCTCAGGAGGACTTGGGACCTGCCCCGGGGTGCCAGGATTGCCCGCAGAGGCAGCAGCGTTCCCACGCGCGGGCCCCAGCCTTCACCCCCAAGCCCTAACCCGCAGGGGACCTTAAGCACCACCAGGTGTGACTCAATCTAGAATCAAAACCAGATCCTCAGACCCTTCCCCGTCTCCTCGGTGCTTCCTGGGGCTGCCCCGCTGACTCAGTGCCCCCCACGGCCACCGGGCCTGCACACCTGCCATCTCAGCCCCCACTTCCTTGCCGTCTGCCAAGCAAACAGGACAGCACTCGGGTGGGCGGGACAGTGTTTCTCATTCTTTCCCATCCCCACCCCCAACTTGTGCTCTTCCCCTCAGAATCTTTCCCGTTCTCCAGGAAGCCCCCCTGGTTGCTCTCCAGCGATACTGCCTACTCCAGGAAGCCTCCCCTGGTTGCTCTCCAGCGACTCCTATCCCTGGGCCCCAGAGAACTTTGTCCCAACATTGCCCACTGTGTAGAGGTCACTTGATCCTTATCTCTCCCTCCCTGATTTGCTCAAGGGCAAAGGCTACAGCCATTTTCTCATATTTGAACTCTCCGCCCTGCTCGCTGGGCCCACACCAGAGCCCAGAGGTCTGTGGACAGGCGGAAGAATTTCCTGCAGCCTGACGATGCAGTGTCAGAGGAGAATGGGGAAGAGGGTCGCGGGGAGGCCTGGTGAGGCTGAGAGCATTTCTCGGGGACACCACCGGGAGGTGGGCCTGAAGGAGGTGACATGCACTCAGGAAAGTAGCTCGCAGGCAGAGCTCAGGGCTTCCTCCCTGGCACAGGCTGGGGGGGGGGGGGGCGGTGAGTAGGAGAATACAACACGGAGCAGCGGGTGGGGAGCTTGCCTTGCCTGCGGCCGACCCAGGTGTGGACCCGGCCCCCCCTCCCCGTAGGGTCCCCCAAGCCTGCCAGGAGTGAGCTCTGAGTGCCCTGCCAGGAGTAACCCCTGAGTACTGCTGTATGTGACCCCAGAATAACAACCAAAAAATACCCCAAACAAACAAACCAACCAAAAAAGCCCCTTAGAACGGCACCTTGATGGTGGGAAAATTCGACCAAACCGTAATGCCCCAAAGTAGAGAGAGAATGGGGGAAATTGCCTGCCTCAGAAGCAGGGGGAGGGCTTGGATGGGGGTGGGGGACACTGGAGACGTTGGTGGTGGGAAGTATGCACTGGTGGAGGGATGGGTGTTTGATCATCGTATGACTGAAACTCAAACATGAAAGCTTTGTAACTGTATCCCACGGTGATTCAATAAAATAAAAAAAAAAGAGAGAACGGCACCTTGAAATGGTCCCAGAGGAGAGGTGTGGCCAGGGTCACGCAGCTGTTGATCATCAGAGCCAAATCCAGGGCCTCGAAGAGGGTGGACAGGGAGGGACAGGGTGGGGGGGGGCACAGTGCATGCAGGAGGGTCAGGTTCAGTCCCCAGAAGCTCATGGTCCCGGAATACTAACAGGAGTGACCCCCAAGCACCGCTGGGTGTGTCCCCCAAACCAGCCAGCGCAGAGGGTCTCCTCAGGATGGGTGAGGTCGCCTACCCCTGCTGGAGCCTGGACCCTTGGATTGTGGCCCTGAATGTCTCAGCCCCTGGTGCCTCGCCGCAGGGAGCCTCGATTGGTTGGTCCACGCTGAGACCAGCGGGGACCCGGCCAGCTGCCCTTACGCAATCCGGCAGAGCTGCATCCTCCCAGCCGTCCCTCCCTCACAAGAACAGAGAGGTTAGGCAACCTGGCCAGAGCCACACAGTGTCCAGAATGTTCTACCTGGAGTCCCCACTGTGAGTGGCCTGCTCAGGCCCCAGGCTCTTCTCGCCTGTCCAGCGTGCACATCGTCTTCTCCCTCAGCATTGTACGCACCCGGGGTGGCGCCGGGCTCTGTGGCAGCCTCACATGTGGGGGGGCAGGGGGGATCGGCTCCGCCTTCAGCTCTACCACAAGTTTGATATGATTTGAATTTGTTTATTCGGGGGTCCTGCTGGCCTCTCTGACGAGGAGAGTCCGTGTGGTCAGGCTGAGAGTGTCAGAACATACCTGCCAGGCGGGTTAGCCGGCTTCATTTCCTCCCAACTCACAAAGAACGATCTTTTTTTCTTTCTTTCTTTCCACTTTTACTTATTTGTTTTTATTGGTTGAGTTTCTGTGGTTTACGGTACAGTCAATAACAGTTTCTTATGCACATAATCCCAACATCACACCTATTACCAGTATACCCACATTCTTCCCCCAAGAACCCCAGTGCGGAAGGGCACCTTTCGAGATGGAAATGTACGAAAAACTAACCCACCAAGGGTGGGGTGGTAGGAGCCACCATACTCACAGTGGCCTCTTTTTCTTTGGATAGGTTTTTTCATTGAATCGCTGTGAGCTAGACCCTTACAAAGCTGTTTGTGATTAGGTTTCAGTCATACAGTGGCCCATCCCTCCACCAGTGCTCATTTCCCAACACCCCTCACACCCTTCCTGCCTCTGTGGCAGGCTCTCTCTCTCTCTCTCTCCTCTCTCTCTCTCCTCCTTTCCCTCTTCATTTCGTCTGGGCATTGTGATTTACAATACAGACACTGAAAGGCTATCATGTGTATCCCACAAAGGACAGTCTTTTGGTTTTGATTTG